ATCTAACAGGGCATGGAAAAGGGTTTTAAACTTTGAGGAGGAGCCCCGTGGTGGGTGCAGAGGGCAGGGAATCACGACCACTGAGTGGCTGGAAGCAGAAGGCTTTGAGAAGGGGGTGACCATGGAGAGAAGAGGACAGCGCAGCACGGCAGGAAGTTTCTGCAGATGAGCATGGGGGGGGGGTGGGGTGACTACTCAAAAGCACATGTCTCCAGCAGAACAGGAAATTCTCTAAAGCAGTAGTACAGCACAGAGGGAGCGGAGATGAGGGGGGTACCAAGGACAGCGCACGGAGGCTCAGCAGTCATGAGGGTCTGGACAAGGAAGAATACAGACACTAAGTGAGCACTGGTACTTAGTATCAGTACAAGAAGATGGGGGTCATAAAAACTAGACCTGAACAGACGGTAGAGTGGGAGGCAACGGGACCTCAGGTTCAATGCACCTGGATGCTGAGAGCTAAGAAAAAAAGCTTTGAGTTTGTGGGTAAGTGTTCATCGGGGATGCAAGGTGGCAGACATGAACCCCATATACAGTAAATAAACAGCACCAACAGTCTTTCACAAGCCTGGCGTGATCTGACTTCAGTTTCTCATCATGCTTTGGACTCCTGCTATTCGCTTCCATTGTGAGGAATGGCAGTGGGTGCTCTAGGATGAGGTTAGAGAATCCAATGAAATTTCTGAAGGACATGCTTTGACAAGGCAGGTACCTAACCCTTGGCAAAGAAAGGACAGAAGAGGCAGCTCATGCACTTGGACTGCACTTGGACTAGGTTTGAAAACTACAACTGTTCCTTACTTTGCTTCCAGTTCTAGACACTGAGTGGAGGCACTTTTACTTAACCTTTTTAGCAGCGTTTTATATTTTAAAAAATGGTTCTATTGTTTTCTGGAGTGGTATTATCTCTTAATAGTATATAGGGGGCAGTGCCTAATTTGAAAGCCTAACCTTATGTCAGCATCCCTACAATTACATAAGCATTATAGAAGAATCTGCAGCTGCATTAACTTCTCAAGTATTATATTTCAAAGACATGATGTCTGCAACACTTAGTGCATTAGGTAGACTAATCATATGTGTTCAAATTAAACACATTCAACTAGAGGGGAGAGAAGGGACAGGAGAGAGAGGGGCAGAAGGAGAAAGACTGGGAGAGAGAGGTAAAGGGGAAGTGGGGGTCAGTCTGTGACAGAGAGGAGGAAGAGGGGCAGGAGGGGAAGGGGAGGGAAATGTTAAGAAAGAAATGGAAATAGTGTGCGATCATCTCATCTTCAGGTTTGTGGCTGGGAGTGATTTTGTGGTTGGGAGACTCATGAATCTTCCCCTTTTTTTGGGTTCCTTCCTGCCTGTTTCTCCAGAGACTGGGTGTGAATCTAGGGCTTAAGAGCACCTGTTTCTCATGGAACATTTTTTTTTTCTGGGCAGACTTTGGAACCACCCCATGTCTAACTCTACTGTATAGCAACCCTCCTCTGACTTTGAAAGAGGCTAAGGAAATTCTAATCTTATTTCTTTGGGGCTTCACTCTTTTTAATCCAGTCCTCTTGTTGTGGGTCACTTCAAACATCCCTCACCTTTCCATTTAATTTCCATTTCTAATGTCTACATGATTATTCACATACATTAGATTCCTGTCCCCGAGACAAAGTCAGAAAGGACAGTTTGAGGGGCAGTTCCTGCTTTGGTTATTAATATTTCTCTCTGCAACACTAAGAATGTGGCTTTAGAACAAGAACATGTGCGATCAAAACCCAAACTGAACAGGACCCCATCTCCTTTATCTGGACTCAAAAAAACAGGAATTTCTTATTCTCTTGGACATGATAACCAACTCTGATGCAAACACACTACAAACTTTTTGGACATGCAATTCCTAAAAGACGGCACACAGAAGGCAAAGCAAAGAATCCCATGGACCCGGGTCGCACAGGACAGACATTTCAGGGAACAATTCTATTTAAACAGACCCAGAGGCCTACCGGCAAAGCCGCCTGCAGGGCAGCCAGACTCAAGCTGTTTGGGGATGTTGGAACGTGACTGGAAATTCTGATGGAAACAGCCAGCGACTCACAACCCCCCACCCCCCCCCCCCGCAAAAAAAGAAAAGGAAACGTAAAGAAAAAGACACTGACTTTTAACTATGCTGCAATCATGGTCACAAAAGAGAAGACACAACACCCTGGTTGCCCATTCCCTTCCCTCCAGCTGATTTCCAAACCTCCTCTTCCCTTCCTCCTGAGCTAGGGGCCAGGGTAAAGGGAATGAGCAGAATGGGCTGTGATGGCTGATTTTTCACATAACAAATCAAGGCGAGGTTACTTGAAAGACACAAAAACGAGGAGCTCGTATCCTCTTTTTATTTGTCCCTAACTTTTAAAAATTAAAAATGTGTTTTTCTCATATTCTATATGAAAAAAAAAAAAAGGACAGACATTACATTTTGCATTTCAGCCTTCCCTCTAAGTGAAAATGATACTGGCTCTGCCCCCCACCCTAATTCTTGAAGCGTTAGTTTAAATTTGATTCAATGAACTGGATCTGACTCTTTGTTCGTGTCCTCCAAGCTTCAGGAGCTTGCTAATGTTTCTCCCTCTTAGCTACAGACATAAAAACAGAGAAAAACAACACAAAGACAACTAAAAGTCATTCTAAAGTCTACCATTAAGATAACTAGTCTTGACCCTGGGTCCTGTAGTCTTCCTTTATTTCATCTATGTGTACTTGCAGTACATTTTTTTTACAAGATTATGATCATTTCCTACACTAGAAAATTCCAATTAAAGGCTAAAGAATAAGCCATCCTTAAGAAAAAAAAAACAAACAATGACAAAGTTAAGACAGCTGTGCTACTGAAGAGTTTATAAGCACTATAGTGACAGCAACAAATCCAGATGAAACAGTTACGAATTTCATGAAAACAGATAAAAATCCAATCGGAATAATGAGGCCTGACCCACTGAACACCTGTTTATAGTCTTAATTTTGCCTTAAGGAGATACTACTGATGTCCTCCAACAACAACAAAAATCAATAATGGATCAATATGGATAAACGTGTTGGCTACGACCTTTTGTCCTGAGAGACAGTTAACAGCTGGGTTTAGTTTTACTGGGATTTACTTAAAGACTTGTAACAGTAAATAATGGAGCATTTAAGAATATTTGCCTGCTTTGATTTAGTGAGTTTGGCAGGTGGCCGTGGCCTTTCAATGGCATATGGCTTTGGGAAATTACATCAATATATGCATACAATGTGTCTTAGCCTCTAGTTCAAGCGTCAAATTAATTAGCAAAGAATCTCTGGTTTAACGTTTTATGAGCAAATATTCTCCAGCACTGCTTGAAGAAAATATCATGAAAAGACAAAAGAAAAAAAGAGTAAAAGAGCCTGAAAAGTTTTGCAGGAATTTTTAAGAATAGCAGAATGCCCCAATAGAGAGGCAGTCACCAATATTATCTTGCGATCCCACAACACTGTGAGAGGCATATCCAGACACGTCTAATGAAGCAATGTTAACTTCTTCTTTTCAAAGATAAATTACCTATAAGTGTAATATTAAATGAAATAGAAAGCACACTTTCAATCTATCTCAAATGTTCCCATTAGGGGACTTCTGTGGTGTGCCTTTTGTAATAAATGAGAGAAATTCTGATACCCTTCAAGAGGATGTGAAACTAAATGAAAATGCAGACGAATTACTCTGAATATGTTTTCTGCTGTAATTCCCTTCATATTTCATATTTGGAAGGTGGAGAACAGCACAGAAAATCCAAACACAGTCTATGGTAACAACTAAACAGGAGTTTGAGATTTTTTTTTTTTAATTTTGTTTTCAAAATAGGCTACTTTTAATTACAGAGTCACATTGAGAAAAGCAAATGATGATTTTTATAGGAACCATAATCAACCAAGCCAAATTCTGTTTTAAAATAATTTCGCAGAGAAATTCACCTTTGAGGATCAATGGGCCTCATATTTTTGCAAATTATAGAAACCTGTAAATTCGCTTTCCTATGCAATATCCTGTAGATTGTATACAGGAAAAGACAGTTTCTGGCATATTTAAGAATAGAATAGAATTTAAGCTATTTCCAAAATATCTGGTAGATGCTACTAAGTTCCCTGAGTACTACCTGCTTGCTTCTTTTATTTTATTTTTTGATATAGAAGAAATGTTCCATTGATAGAAAATTACACAGCACACAGCATTGTAAAGCCACAGTGTCTATTAAAATAAATGGATATTGCACTTGTTTTCACTTTGGATATTTTGAAGGATATTTCTCTTGCTTTCATATAGAGAATTCATTTGACATGATTCCAGACACGTGAAACTTTAGGGACAAAATGGCAATAAGAAGCATATTAGTTCCTTCTTGAGTTTTACATTCTTACAGCTTAATATGGTCATAAGTAGATTGTTTACAGCTTACATGGATCAGTAAATATATTAAGATGAACAATTATAAAATCTAACATATTATTATACTACCATTAAAAATCACTAAGTTATTAGTTAACTAAAATAAACTTTTAATATGAAATACCAAGAAAAAGTCAAATGAGTTTTTAATCTGAACCTGAACTGGGGAGAATTATCCCACTTCAAAAGCCACAGTGCCTATCCACTGAGGGGAAGCCTTTTACATATTTTCTTTAGCAAAGAAACTGACCATATTCATTTGGGGCAATACACACACACACACACACACTATATATATATACATATATATATATGTATATATATATGTATACAGCTTAAAAAATCAGCTCAATCCAGCTCTCACATATGCTTGGAGAAAAAGTGCTTGGAAATCTTTGTTACTCATGGACCCCTTTCAATCACCTAGCGACCTCTCTCTTTAGTGCTGTTTTTAATTTCAAACATTCAGCGTTCAAAGTCAAAGATTTGACAAAGCTGATGCCAATCGTAACTTTGAAACACGACGCAAACAAACGCAGAAACTTTTAAGAAATTCAAGTAAAATGGTCCCTACCTTTTTTTTGAGAGTACGATGGCGACTGCACTTGAGAAAAAGTAGGCTTTTCTTCAGTGAAATACTCAGGTTGGCTGTATTGATTCAGGGCCATGTCCAAATCAGAGTCCTTGCTTTTCAGCATGTTTCCAGGGTAACTACAGGTATAAGGCTGATTCACTGCCCAGGCCTGTTCCATATATATGTTGTTACTGGGCACAGCCTGAGCGTTGCAACCACTGTAGCCCGGACTATCTTCAAAATACGTGTAATAATCAGTGGCCTGCATGTAGCAATTGCTGCCGGCAGCGGGGTGCACTTCATATACTTCTTGCAGACAATAGTTCATTTTGTGACCCTGGTTCAGTTTCTACTTTACATATACACACACTCTACGCATGCATTCACCAGCCCCATACGCCCCGAGAGCCGGGCATATACGCCGAGAAGCGTCCATCCATACGCATGACACGAGAAGGAAAGATGAATAAACACCACCACCCGTACAGCCACCCAGCCTGCTTTACTTTGGAATTGCACCTGATGGGCTAAAATCCTATTTAGATTGAGGTGTCTTTTGAGCTCTCCTGCCATTCAAACATATTGGAAAGCAGATTTCTGACTATCAAAGGTCTTAAGCTGAGAACACAGCTAAGTCCTGGGGAAGATGGCACGCAGGTAGGGATGACCGTCACCCAGCTGGAGGAGTGACAGCAAGAATGCTCCTGTTCCCCCAAAGCTGGAAAGATTCATTTTATACGCCGTTTTTAACCCCTTTTAACATGATTAGAAAATGATTACTCATTGTGATGTCATTTTGGTTGACAACTTAAGCATGAAACCTTGTAAAGACATCTTAGAGAATATCCTTGGATACACAGAAAATCCTAAAATCAATAATCCGGTTTATTAGCATGACCCAGAGAAAATCCCAGTAATAATGAGCCCGATGACTGACTCTAAAACATTAATCTAGTCATGCAAGTGTTGGTGGTTAAGTCTGTTGAATGTTACTGATTGGCTTTTTTTTTTTTTTAAGATTTTATTTATTTATTTGACAGAGAGAGACACAGCGAGAGAGGGAACACAATCAGGGGGAGTGGGAGAGGGAGAAGCAGGCTCCCCGCAGAGCAGGGAGCCCGACGCGGGGCTTGATCCCAGGACCCTGGGATCATGACCTGAACCAAAGGCAGACGCTCAACGACTGAGCCACTCAGGCGCCCCCTGATTGGCTTTTAATGGCAGGATCCAGCCATCCTCCTCATGACACACAGGTCCCACAGGTTTTAGAAACATGCCAAGAAAAGCCACTTCTGAAAATGCCACTGGTATCTGTGAATGAGTTAAGGTTTGTTCCTTGCCGCGGATCATTTTCTACATTGTTGGCACTAATCTACATGAGACCTAAAGCTTAAATCAGCTTTGCTCATTCTGTTTTTATGTTTTGTTTATCAGCACATGAGGGAGAGTATGTGCCAGTGCCCTTAAATGAAGAACCGCCTCAATTATGGCAGGCTCCCCCCTCCGTTTGTACTTAACAGCACTCTTGGAGGTAGTTTGTGGGAAAGCGTGTATATTTATCATTTTATTCCAATCAGATCTGCTTTTGAGATTATTCACATGCTTGAGGTTTAAAGACCGTGATCTTTAAGAGGGAAAAGCGTTTTCTGTAAGAATCATTGTATCTTTTAACTAAGATGCGAACAAATATCAAATTAGACCCTAACTGCTTGCTAAGATGATTACTAAGGGCTTTTTTTCTCCATGTGGATGAGCATGTGGATGCCCACTATATGCATGTGTTCTAGATCATGGTTCAGTAAGGGCCAAAGCTGCTTTCTTTGAAGCTAGAACTTTCTTTGAAAGTTCTTTCTCTTTCTTCCAGAGACTCAGTTTGCAGGGCTGGGACTCAGGTGGTGACATTTACATTTGGGTTCCTGCCGGTCCATGAATGTGTGACCTTGTTGGTGTTTCCCTCCTAAGCGACCACAGACAATGTAATATGGTAATACTCAGCAGTGAGACCTCCTCTTTGGCTATGCACCTCTAGTCAACTCCAACATGGGATTCTGGGATAGGGATATATGACCGGAGAAAGGAAGGTATGAGTAACAGTCATTCAACAAACACCTACAGGGTGTCTGTCAAGTGCAAAGCAAGGAAGTGGTGGGAGCAGAGAGCAAAAGTCAATCAGCCCCTGCCACTAAGTAGCTCAGTAGCACACGTATTCAGTATACTGAGTCAGTGGGCCACCGACATGCAAGGGAGTCTTTTTAAGTGCTGATGATTTAATTTTTTTGTTTTTAAAGATTTCTTTGAGAGAGAGAACGAGCAGGGGGAGGGGCAGAGGGAGAGGGACAAGGAGACTCCCTGCTGGGCTGGAAGCCACACATGAGGCTCAATCCCAGAACGCTGGGATCATGGCCTGAGCCAAAGGCAGACACTTAACTGACTGAGCCACCAGGCGTCCCAAGTGCTGATGATTTTGTAAACATAGTAAGGGAGCCACTGATCAAGGGAAGAGAGCAAGCAACAAATGAGACAGAACAAGGGAAGAAACCCAGGCCGACCCCATGGATGTTTAGTAATAAGACTCCTCAAAAAATTGCAACCGAACTGTAAGACAAGTAAAGGAATGTTCTCCAAATTGGTACATTTGAATCGTGAAAATGAACTGCAACATCCCAAACAGCAGAAAAGTGACCATAAGGAGTAACGAACATAGCTAACATCCTAATAGTGTTTTTACTCTCTGATTAATCTTAAAACGAATAAAAGATTTATTCGCAAGTGTTTTTAAGAACACATACACATAACATTACAATTAACATTTTCTCCCTGCTGAAAATGTCAAAACATTTCATTGGAAGCAGTGACTATTTTCTGAAAACCCCGGGAAAAAGGATCCAGGCCTTATGTTTTTTGTCTGATTTCATTTATTTATCTCAAATTTCCCCAAACTAATCTGAAAATTAACCTTTCAATAAAGCAGTTTTCTTTCCTGGCAAACACACATGTTCCGAGGCCTCTTTTTCTGGTTCGGAGCTACATGGCGGATCCGGCCAATTCTGCAGTTTGGCCAGTGCGTTTCCTGGCTCCCTTTCTATTTCATCGAAGGCACAGATCCAAGCAATTTCTTGCTTTTCACCAGTAACAATATCAACCAAAGCCAGAGTCTCAACTTCCATGCCAAAGGAACACTTAGAAACAACTTCCAGAAATCTCCAAATGTGCTTGGAAAATCAGAGCGTTAAATTCTGCCCCAGAACTGGATATACATACTGCAGCGAAAAGGGAAAGAACGACTCCAAAACCGTTTTTCCTCAATTTTTACAAAACATGTGGAAGACCCGAGAGTCACGGAATTAAAGCAATTCTGCATTCCCTCAGAAATCTTTGAACAGGAAAAAAGAAGGATCAAAGCCTATTTAAGAGAGCTCCCTCCCTAACTTTTTATCTTTTGGAGAAAACAGTACAAAACTTTTCTGGAATGCACTCCTTCTTGTTCCAAGAATGGGGGATATTCTTTACGTGTAGCAAGTGCGTGAAGCTCTCACTACTGTGAGTTGAAAATGGAGTCCAACACTCACACTGAGTTTGAAATATGGCCCCTCATACCCTGATAAAAGCAATCACAGTGCTGTCACTCGTGATCGATCTGGCATGCTTCTCTGTAAAGTCGATAAAGCAATTTAAACGTATTATGTGTCACAAATGAGGTGAGCTTCGGTAAGATTGTTTTCTTATTTCCCTGGCTGACTACTCTAATTTAGTTACTTAAGGGGAAGCTTGAGAGTTATTTGACCCATAGTGCATCAGACTGCCTGAAATAAACTTGGGAGGGCTTTAATAATTCTCACTAGAAGTGTTCCAATCAATAACAATTTATTATGTAAATACATCTCTGTCTTCGGCTGGAAGGAAATAACCTAAAAGGATAAGACTAACGATATTGCTTGGAAAACCTTGTAGGTGAACAACAAACCCTCAAGGTCTCTGAAGGAGGAAAGCAGCTTCTTTCAGTGTCTTTTCCTCTGTTTTCAGCTGTGTTGTTTCTTTAATAAGGCCGCACATTGACCTCACCCATGCACTTTAAAAAATGTCGATGCCTAGGTGTCACGCTCAGAAATTCTGATTTAATCAGGATGGGGTAAAACGTGAGCATCAAGGTTTTTTTTTTAAGTTCCTCAGGTTATTTCCACAGGCAGCCAAATCTGAGAACTGCTGTTCTACTGGGTCCCCAAGCATGGCCCCTTTACCATGCCATGGGCATCCCCCATACTTAACTTTTTCTTCATTTGCAGTTTTGCTGCGTATTTCCCTTAGTTCTTAAAAATTCACCCTCCACACCTCGACCTAACTTCAGCTGTCCTTGAGTTGTCTGGTTGAGGAGAGGGGATAGGCCAAGGAGAGAGACCGGGAAAGAACTAAATCCAAGGAAGTGTGATGTGGCATGGGAACGCCGGAAGAATCTGCCTAGGGAGTTGGGCATAGCGTCATGGAAGAGGGGACCTGCGAGTTGGCTTTTGAAGAGTACACAGGACTTCAACAGTGAAGCCAGAGATATGAGACTGCTGAGCAGAAATATCTTGGGGAGAGTGTTATCAATGATACTTGCAAGAAGGCACATAAGGAAAGATAATTAATAAACATGAAATGTTTATGCTAGCTTCTACTCCAATAACTTTTCTTTCTTTCTGCTTTAGTAATAGAATGTCTAAGTTTTAGTTGTGCAATAGCCTTTGGGAAGAGACTTCTGTTTCCCAGTCTCCCTTGCACCTAGATGTGTCTGTGTGAAAAACTTCTGGCCAGTGAGATGTAGCAGAAGAAATGTTGTATGGCGGTTTCTACAAGACTTAAAAAACAACTGGTGCATACTATTTGCTTCTTCTTTGTTCCTTCTTCTAGCTGCTGGAATGTGGATATAATGGCTAGAGCTCCAGCCACCATTTTGGCCCATTAGAATAACTGCTGTACTCTAGATGGCAGAGGAATAAGCTGGAAGGAACCTAGGTTGCTGAACCTAGAACTGCCACAGAACTGCCATACTAGTCTAGACTGCGAACCTCTGTACTTAAAAAAAAAAAGATTTTATTTATTTATTTGACACAGAGAGACACAGCGAGAGAGGGAACACAAGCAGGGGGAGTGGGAGAGGGAGAAGCAGGCTTCCTGCAGAGCAGGGAGCCCGATGTGGGGCTCGATCCCAGGACCCTGGGATCATGACCTGAGCTGAAGGCAGACGCTTAACTGACTGAGCCACCCAGGCGCCCCTGCACTTTTGATTTTTTTTCTCAAGAGAGAAAAATAAACTTTTTCATTTAGGTAACTGTCTTCTCTTTTGTAAAATAGTGATAATTGTACCCACCTCATCAGTTATTGTGAAGATGAAGTGAGTCAATATAAGTAAAGCATTTAGAACAGTGACTGGCATAGTAAGTGGATATAATTATGTAAATATAGTAATTGTCATTATTGAAGTGCCTTAGGCTCTGTCTTGGACTTTCTTTTTTGAGTCTATATTTTCACTCTAGGTTAAGAGTCAGCAAGCTTTGGCTGACAGACCAAACATGGGCCACGACCTGCTTTGTAAATAAAGTTTTATTAAAATACAGTCATGCTCATTCATTTACATATCGTCTATGGCTGCTTCTCTATCTACTCCGTGCTACAATGGCAGAGTTGAGTAATTGTAGCAGAGACAATATGGCTTGCTGAAAATATTTAGTATGTGGCACTTTAGAGAAGAAGTTTGCCAGTGTCTGTTGTAGGTGATCTCATCCACTCTAATGGCTTTCAATAAATAGATAAATGACACCCAAATATTATGTCTCCATCCCAGATGTCTCCTCTACAACCAGAATCTGCTGTCCAGCTGTCAACTTGACATGTCCATTAGCACACCAATAGGCATCTCCAACTTCATTCTTTCTAAGACCTGTTCCTCCTGCAGACTTCTCATCTAGGTACCACCATCCACCTGGGGGTTTAAGCACAAAGCCTTGTCGTCTCCTTGACTCCTTACTTTCCCTCACTATTTACCTCCAACCTAGAAGTAAGTTCATTGGTTCTTCCTCCAAGATATATACTACCTTAGAGGAAGGGAGGGAATTCAGGGGACTTGCCCAGGCCTGGGATTTGACGCTCCCCCTTAAGAATTGATGTAAAACCTTGAGTCCGTGGGATCATGCACAATTCAGACCATTTTGGAACTTTTTACTTCCTCAGTCCCAGGTACATTAATTAGCATGAGTCATTCTCCCCTTGATTATTTTGACTGTGTGATCCTCATTAGGTGGACACTGTGGCACTGGATTAACATTCAGATGATGTTTCCAGAGTGGTCCACAATACCAGTCTCAAGAGACGCTTTGAAGGAAAAGGCAGTAAAAAGAGGTTCTGTGGTCAAATGAGTTTGGGAAGTATGCATTGTGTATCCCTCTCTGAGAGAATCTCAGATGAAAACTGTCGGACTTTGCATGACCTCACATGACTCAGCATTTCCCAAACACATCTGATCATAGAACCCTGTGTATCTTCTAACATCTGTTACAAGTGTTCCATGAAACATACTTTCAGAAACACAGAATTCTGTTCTGTGACTCCATTGCTGGAGGGAAGGCCATTCGTAGGGATAGATCCCCTGGAAGAGTGGTGTTTTTCTTAGATCACACACCAGGGACAGAGAGGAGGAGCCTGGGAAACTGCTGAGGGGAGTGTCCTGGTTTTGGCCTTTACTAAGGAGGAAAGCTCCTGGCCAGAAGAGGCAGGCCGGACACAAGGTAGTGCAAATCCTAGGTGATCACTGCACAAGACTGGGGCCTTTGGGCTCTGCGACTGCATCTGTTTGGTAGGAATAGAAACACAAAGCCCTCTTCTTTTCAAACAACTTATACTCTGACTTCATTTCTAATTTGCTTTTTTCTCCTTTAGTATTTGACAAAAGCTTTTTGATAGTGCCGGCCTGTTACAGCTCTATGAAAGGATACTGAGGGGAGGCTTTTGTTTGCAATCCATCATCAAGCAGAATGCACGTTTACAAAAAATGCGCTGAAAATGTGACAACATGGTTTACTGGCATACAGGGAATGGACTGCGATCTGGGTGCACTGGGAAAGAAAGGGCCCTGAGGAGAACACTAAAGTGGGAACAAGATGCTCCTGGGGCCCAAGATGTTGGGAGCAGCCCCAGTAACTGAACTGAGAGCTGTCCAAGGAGAAGGAGGTTCTCACAGTGCAGTCGTGGTGACTTCCTTAACTTGGACACTCTTTCCAGGCCTAAGGTCTGGAGGTCGCGTTTTACTCTATTAAGGTGGACCGGCTATCCTGGCACAATCGTGCAAAAGATACCACAGACCCTATTACAATAGCTTTCTACTAGATGAAATATGCCGATTTATAGAATTGAGTGGGTTAAAGCAAACAGCCCTTTGTAGTTCCACAAAGACTGTAAAATAGACTCCGCAAGCCTTAGATCAGTGGCTCTAAAAGTGTGGTTCCTGAGCCAGCAGCATTTGCATCTCCTGGAACTTCTTATAAATGCAAATTCTCCATCGGTGCCCCAGACCCACTGAATCAGACTCAGCAGGGTGAGGTCAGCAGCATACGTGGAGACATGGCCTCCCAGGGATTCTGTTGCAGGCTAACGTTTGAGAACCAGGGTCTAGACCGAATGAAACATGTAGGTATACAGAAGTGAATACAGACAAGCCTCCTCATGGCTGGGGTGTTGAAAGAGAAGGAAGGCTTCTGAAATAGATTGTAGACCAATGTTATCAGCATTGAATTCCTCTCTTTTCTAAGCCAACAGGGGAATGTTCGCTCTTTTCCATGAATGGACTTTTGATTCAAAAGCAAACCTTTAATGGCTAATATAGTCTGACGAAGTTTGCATCATAGTCTAGAAAACATCCAATAAAGTTTCAGTTTGGTGTGACTTTAATTTGAACACTGGCTAAATAATAATGATGAGGTCTATTGCATGTTATCTTCATAACCAAACAATACCACTGGTGGTGAAGATATTTTCATTCATTTTAAAGAGTGGAAACTGAGGGGTTGGTTTTCTCAACCTTATGTAACTGCCAAGGGAAGAAGTTAGTATAGAGATTTTGGCTCTTGATTTGCTATTCTAGAACTTGCTTGTCCCATTTCCCACAGTACTTTTCTAAGAGAAAATTATTTATAGGTTTTGACACAGATTCAAGGTCGCTGTAATGATTTATCTGTTTTTCCAAAGATGAGCTTAATTTAATGCCTCTATTTATTTATATATATTTACCTCTACCTCTAGGACAAAACCTCTTCAATATTTTACGTTTTTATGAATATCATTTATGCTTTGCATGAATATCATATGGCCCCTCATTTTACGTACTCTTTAATTAATGAAAGCAAGTAGATCCATTTTGACTTAGTTTAATGTGTCAAGATGATTATTTCATTGTAATTCACACTGATGGACTTGATTTGAAAAGTTGAGTGGTTGTTTGAGTGGAACGGTTTTGACATTTAACAGCTATAGTATACTTTCTTTATTCCAGAATAACATGTCAGAGATTAATTTTAAAACAAATTTCCCTAATAATAGGAATAATGAATGAATGATTGAATCATCTGCATTATACTTTGCTTTTTCACCTTTAAGAACAACTAGTGCAAAATTGAGGCTCTGCCACAATTGATGTCGTTTTCAAAAGATTTATTCTTTGTTCATTAAAGGCTCCATTCTTACACCAATACTTAAAAATGCTGTGAAGAATAATGAAAGGTAAAAAGTTCAAACGAAGTAATGCTGCATGCTACAATGTGGATGAACCTCAAAAGCAATATGCCAAGGGAAAGATCCCAGTCCTGTTGTGTGATTCCATTTTTGTGCGGTGCAGTAAAGGCCCATCTGCAGGGACAGAAAGTAGATGAGTGGTTGCCAGGGACTGGGTACAGAGAGAAAGAGTCACTGTAAGTCAGCTGCAAGTTTCTTCAGGGTGATGGAAATGTTCTAAAATAAGATTGTGGTGATGATTGCAAAACTCTGTAAATACTCTAACAATTATGGAACTGTACACTGAAAACAGAGGGATTTTATGCTATGTAAATTATATCTTAAATTATATCTTAATAAAGCTTCATGAAAATAGATGCGGGTTTATGAATAGCTTGAGCTAATTAAAACTGATTATCAAAATAAAAAAATTTAAAAGTTCACGTCATTTACATATCAATACCATGTACAAGAGGAAGACAGGGCCTTCCTCTGAAATTTGCAACCCAACTAAAAAGACGTATCAACAAGCAGAAGACAGTATCTGACACACCAAACACTTCATGTGTTAAGTGAATATGGAGTGAAGTGGAATTTTACTGTTTCCAAAACAGCATAAGTTAAATTCTTTATTAATCTTCTCTAGGACAAATGTCAGCCAGCCAATAGAATTTTCATTATTGCTTGGTCATCAACAGAGTCATTGCGTATTTCAAGTCTAGACCCAAAGCTCGTCCAACATGTCTATTTGGAAACCCCATGCTGGAAGCAGGCTCATTGAACTTCAGTCAACACACAGTGCAGCACGGGGCACACAAAATACACTTGAGAACATTTTTGGTATAGATCAAGGTGATCTCAACCTCCAGTGAATTACACAGGCATGTTCCGAAGCTGTAGTAAGATCGGGTAGCACCCAATAGGTGCTCTAGTATAGTAACATTTCATGACAGCATGAGGAAAGAAATGACTCATTCTGAGGGCGAAAGGAGAAACAAGCACAGAGGAAGTGATATGTGAATGGGGCCTTCATGGAAGAGGTGAACAAAAGAGGATTGGTAAAGGAGTTTCCAAAAACTGGATTGACTTCATGTCGGTACCCTGAGAACCACATCTAGAAATGGTGAATTGAAGTTCCTCATTTTATTTCAAATGTCAAAATAATCTAGAAAGATACATAGTAGGTATCAAGATTAACCAAAGGTACATTCCAATCTTAACTGTTTTGTCATTTAATAGGATTGGATTGTGGAAAGAAAGGAAGGTCCAGTTAAAACAGAAATGAATAAAGAGGCAGCATCTATGTGTTATCCTCGGAGGTCTTCAGACTGCAGAGAATCTGCTTTCTATCCCTACTGCAAAAAAAAGGTGTCCCCCAGGGAGGTATCATACTGTCGTTCCAGCCTTAAAAATCTCATAGGTGACAGAGAAACCAATAACTTTGACTTCGAGACATTCATCCTTAGGCTGTTGAATGGATGCTTAATAGGTGGGCTTCTAGAAAATAC